CCTTCACCAGCTTCATTGCTCTTCCCCTGGACATGCTCCAGTGCCTCAATGTCCTTCTTGTAGTGAGGGGCCCAAAACTGAACACAGTATTCAAGGTGCAGCCTCACCAATTCTGAGTACAGGGGAAGGATGACTTCCCTCAACTTCCTGGCCACAAGCCAGGATGCTCTTGGTCTTCTTGGCTGCCTGTACACACTAATGGCTCATATTCAGCCGGCTGTCAACCAACACCCCCAGCTCCTTTTCTGCCAGGCAGTTTTCGAGCCACTCCTCCCCAAACCTGTAGCGTTGCATGGGGTTGGTGTGACCCAGGTGCAGGACCCGGCACTTGGCCTTGTTGAACCTCATCCAGTTGGTTGCAGCCCATTGATCCAACCTGTCCAGATCATATAGGAAATATCAGAAAATAGATATTTTTGGCATACATCAGTCATCAACTTGTCAGTGTGATGTTCCAATTCTTATGCAGGAGCATCATTCTGGTATCCTTATTAAATGTAGGAAACAGCAATTCATGGAAAGTTATGTTCCTGTTTTGATAAAAATAAATTAATACAGTAACTGGAATGAGATCACATTTGCTAATGCTCCCCTCAGCTATGCCTTACTGCACATCTGCTTCTGGCACATCGTTAGCTCGCATGTTGGTGCTAATGGACTGAGAATTTTTATGCTCTAACACTGTGCTATTGTGTTAGTATTCAGACTTCCTGAACAAACAGGGAGTTTCTGAGCCATATCAAACTGAAATAAAGAAATAATATTTTACTTAAAGCAGTAACCAGCAGTTTTGGTCTGCATGCTCTAAAATTAAAAAAAAAAAAACAAAACAAAAACTGTTTTAAAACAAAAATAAGGCTTCAAATTCAATTCCTTTGTGATTTATCATTTGAAAAATAATATGTGCCAACACCTTATCATATACCTGAAATACTGCAGTATTCACATATTCATTTAATAAAAGATAACTAGCTCAAGAATAATAGCTCAAGGATTTCACATGCAAAAAAAAATTACCACAAGGGAGCAAATTGTTGTATGCCAGTTGCTCCTGAGTAGCTAGCATTACCCCCTATGTGCTCATTGCTGGAAAGAATAGTTCCATTTCCTTTCTTTGAAGTGTAACACAATTAATCCTGCTGGCATTTACCTCTGATTGCCAACACTTAGGAGCACACCTAAGGTGCAGCTGCTGCACTGTGGGGAAAATAGGACTCTAGTGTAACTGCTTGATTGACCTTTGCTTAATCTGAGCTCTGGTTAACTGAATACTTGCTGTCCTAGCAGTGCTACTTACCATTGTTTGCTCTCAGACTTGTCCAAAGTCCTGCATTTTTTTTTCTCTACTAACTTTGAATCCCTCCAAAACTAGTGGAAAAACAGGATTGTACTTTGTGGTTTCTGGCTGTCCATATTCATATAACACTGAATACAATTTTCCATCTAGGCATAGAAATGAAATCACTTCTATAGTGATTTAGATTATTTTCTCTTTCAATAAAAGTTCTCTTCTGGGACCGCATCAACAGAAAAACGCAGTAGGAGAGAATACATTTGGAATGAATTAAAACAGGTGAAGGAAAAGTACTTCATTCATTGGAAAGGAGTTCTGTGATCCTGAAGTTGTATAAATGATAATGTGAAAATCTAGCAGCCTCTTTATTCCTTGCAGTGTTCGATGTGAGGTGCTCAGTTTGCTTTGGGAGTATAGAAGATAAGGAAGGCTTCTCTCTGAAAATGGAATAGATGCTTCTTGGATGTTAAGATACATGAAAAAATATTGTATGAACCACCTGAGACCACACTTAGGGATTTATTTAAAAAAACAAAAACCAATCCTTTTGTTATACCAAACCTCATGTTAATTTAAGTTTTGAAATAACCTGATAGGAATTGCTTTGCAAGCAGTTGGGGTATTGCTGGTAAGTTTTTATATTATATTTATAATCATCATATGCTAAATTAATCTATCATGGACAGTTCAAACTTAGATTTCTAGTTTTATTGCAATAAGAAAGTTTCAGGAAATATTGAAATAATAAAATATTGAAATAAGCAGTTACAAAGAGGAGTGTATGATAGATTTTTAAATTTTATTTTGTAATATAGATCTTTTCAAAGTTAGGATGTTTGGACTTGTATATCACATTACTGGTAGACTAGAAATGATTTATATAATGTGAATTTATTTTTAAAAATAAGTTAGACACCATTTCAGCTCTCATATGCATTTTCTCAGATGTTATAGCTGCCATATCTAACCAAAGATGTATACTTGATTCATACACTGAAGCTGTTTTAGCGAGTTTAGATTTTTATTATTAGCTGTTTTGAAGAAGAAAAAGAAATCCTAACTTGCAGCAAACCTGTTAAATACCATATTATAGGAGATAGGAATGAGGGGGCAGTTGGGAGAGTGTGGGTATTAGTCTGAGCTACAGAGAGACAAGTAGCTAGATATTACACCATCTTGGAGATGATGGTAGTCTTCTCACTGTAATCCAGATGGCAAGTGACACATGCATGGATTATTTTGGCCTACCTGGCAGGAAAGGCAAAGTTTTCTACTGAATTGATGATGGAAGAAGACCCTTCAGACTGAAATGCTACATGACCATCCAGAATCAGTAAGAGGTCAACAACTTTGTATCACTTTGACAATTGAAGCCAATGTATGTTTTTATTGGACTCAGGATAGGAGAAGGAAATTATAGCTGACGTGTTACAGGATTTCTCCTTTTCAAGAAACATCACTTCAGTCTTTCTACAGCTTACCTTAAACTTTCTTCCCTTCAATACCTGGTCTCTTCCAAGCATTATAGCCGTGGTAGTGCATGTACTAGTGACAAATGATCCATTTAATAGAGTGGTATTGTCTTGTGAGACTGGAGCCCTTCACTAATATGCTACCGTGTGATCATACAAGACAAAAAGGAGAATACACATAAGGATATTTTTTACACTTGTGTTTTAAAATACATTTTATTATAATTTTTATTGCATTTAAATCTTGAATTATATATTCAACAGCTGTGAATGAGCTATGTCTTCAGCTTTATGTAGGGCAGTCCATGCAATTTCAAACTTTGCCTTTGTGATCTAATGAAAATTTTTGTTATTGTGTATTTCCTAGAGCTACTTAATTATATGAGTTCAGAATTAATATTACCCATACTGGTCTTTTAATTCGGTGGAGTATAAGCATCTATGTTTCTGACAGTGTTTCTCTTTACATTAAAAGTTTATTTGATGACAGTAATAAAATGTTTATATTAACTATAAGTTGAAATGATTGTGTCTACTGTTATTACGCAAAACAATGTACAAAATCTGTCCTAAACAGAATGCAAAGTTACTGCTATATGATAAAATGGATTGTTATATAACATCATTAAAAGAGTCATGCAGACAAGAGTCATTAACTGTGTCCATTTAACTAATGAAAATGGAAAGCAAAAGTCTCCTAACTGATTCATAATCATTTGGGTTGAGGGCTCATAATCAGTGATGTGATAGATAAAAGGAACACTGATTAAATGTTTGAACATGGTGGAAACATTATGGAGATGTGTCTGACACACTGACAAAAAAAAATGAAATTCACTGAGTGATATTTACTTGTATTTTGGATTATTTTCTCACTTTCAAGATGCTTCCATAGAATTATGTCTGACAGCAGTTCAAAGAATACAGTAAAGTACTTTTTAAACAAGATATGCATGTCTGGCAAGTACATTATTTAATGAGAGTGTAGCTTCCAAGACTTTTTATTCAGTGACTAGAGTAATTTCATAATCTTCTAGTAGTTAGTATTTAGAAAGGAGAATTGTTTGTCTTTTGCTGTTTAGTAGTCACATGTAGAATATTAGTCTCTGATTATTTGCTGTCTTAGTATTAAACATTAATCTTTCTGTGCAGAATCATATGGCTTGCAACTACTTACAGAGTAGGTTATACAGTGACTTAACATTTATACTACAGTACCATAGTCAGGACTGTGACTATACCACGTTAAGAAATTGCACCAAAGATGTACAGCATAAAAGTTTCAAAGTATAGGATTTTGAGTGTGGACTGTTGTGTAAACACTCAGGGCCCTAAATAACTCATGTGAGATTTCATCACTTAAGACACATGGTTTACCAAGATTGCAAGGTGCAGTATGTGTCTCTTTTCTCATGTTGGCACATAATGTGTTGCATAGATGGGAAATTCCAAGCTTGCTGCTCCTAGTAACAGGCTTCATAGCTGCATGCAGGTTGGGGCATTTGATCTGTAAGGATAATTGAGATCAGTTTTTCCCCCACCTCTATTAAATAGTTTCCTGTATTACCAAATATAACAGGGGTCAGGTTTTATTTTACCAGAAATTGTGTAAATTCATGTCTCAGATTAATACATCTGAAACATCTTTTGAAACTCCACACACTAAAAATGGCAACCTATTACTAAAAGATACGTTTTTTAAAAATGTTGGTAACTACTTATAAAAACTCTTGTTGCTGATTGGAAAATCAAGTGTTTCTTGGATTTAATATGCAGTCTACACAAGTGAATGATCTTAAAGCATACTTTAAAGGAATGCAGTTATTTGACTGACCTTAGTAAATCAAAGATAATAATGACAACCATTTTGATAGAAAACTTAAACTCTCATGTTAGTAAAGGTAAATAGGGTTTCCACAGAATGCTAGAAACTTGATAAAAATTTCATTGTACAAAGTGTGCTGCACTGTACAAAGAATGGAACAGAAGTTTATTTAAAATGGATGAGTCACTTCACACGTAAACTGATGGTTTTCTATGTACTTTTAAATTGTGTTAATTTTCTGTTTACCAGTTTGAAATAATTGAAAAATTATCTTTGAGGTTACAGTATATTTGCACAAACATTTTTCATTAATCAGAATAATTGGCAAACATCAACACAAAATGTTGAAAAATCCGGCAATTACTTCAGTTTTCTTTGTTTTCCTTTTTTCCTCCCCCCTCTCTTTTAGAATTGGGTAGAAAAAGCTGAGAAACAGAAACTACTGTCAGACACCCTTGACCTCTCAGAGCTATTTCATCCAGACACATTTCTCAATGCCTTACGCCAGGAGACTGCAAGGTGAGGGAAAAATAATCTCCCTATTTATGTGTGCTACTGTGCCATTGTTGCCTATGTGTGAAAATGGTTACTTCCTTTTCAGGATACAGACTCAACAAATTATGTCAATTGCTGTCATTAGTCATCTCATTTTTATTACTTGCATGGAAATAAGATAGCTGAGTTAGTCATTTAGATGCTGATTTTTTTTTTTTATTTTAGAATCACAGAATGGTTAGGGTTGGAAGGG